TGAATATTTTTATTGTGCCAAAGCAGAGCTTTAAATCGAAATAAAAAATTTCGATTTTAATTTTAATTTTGATTATTGATAATAGTTTTTATTAATTTCGATTTTGGTTTTAAATATTGATATTTATTTTTTGCTATTACGTTTTTGATTTCAAATATCGATGTTAATTTTTTTCAATTTAGGTTTTAGTAATCGGTATTTATTTTATTTTTTTTGATTTTGGGTTCACAACAGAATTTTATCCATGATTTATAATAATTTTTCAAATTTTAGTACATCATCAGCATAATAGTTTTGTAGGCTGAGCGACAAGCTAATGATGAAGGTAGTATATATTTAAATACATGTTTTTATTACGTATGTTATAAAACATTACGTACAAACTACAATTATTATTAAAGTGCCTCAAAAATGAAAAAAAAACATAATATGAAAGTGAAGCTAAAATTAAGTAAACCATCTATGTGAAATGATTAAAATGTAAAATAACATTTTTTATTCATAGACTCGGACATAATTTAACTAAATATGAAAACAATGTTTTGAATTATAAGTGGGACAAATATAACGACGTCTAGAAAAACTGCAAAAGTACAAAATAACTATTTTAGGTTATTCGATTGTATATTATTGGTTAAAAGTATAATTCACGGGTGACAGCCAACGGAGTATTATAAATTAATATCTTATCCATAATAATACACTACAAAATGTCTATATATAGTATATGATACGTATATCAATCGTGTGTATAAAAACAACAATCGCTCATCGAACGCTGATTCCTTATCGTAAATATTCTAAAGGTGCGTCCACACTATGCCATTTAGCTTTGCCAAAAGGCATTGTCAAGAGTGATGTGGACTTTTTGTTGGCACGTGCCATTAGGCAAAGTTTTGCCAACTGTCTTGCCAGACTAACCCAACGATTGTCGGTCCGGATCAAAGAAAGCCAATTGGCAAAATTAAGTAGGGACACGCCAATGTTGGCAATGCCGTTAAATTTCTATAATCAGTTGATACTCTACGATTGTTTAAGCGCATGTTATTTTGTTTTTCTTTTCGTAATTTATTAAATATTGAGTAGTGAAATATGGAGTGATCGAATGAAAAACTTTTAACATAGATAGAACTTTTTTGCAGTCGTGCCATTCTTTGGGATTGTAAATTAAAAGATTATAACGATCACAATAAAAGACACAATGCTTTTATTGAAATTTCTGTTAGTTTTGTGGTAAAAAAAAACGAAATTGAAAGAAAATTGAAGAATTTGTTATGTCATCTTTCACAGAAATAAAAAAAGAAAAAGTGTAAAATCTGGTGATGGAACCGAAGAAGTTTACAAGAGCAAATGGTTTATTTATGAAAGTATACTTTTTCTGAAAGACAGAAATCGACCTAGAGAAATCACAGATGCACAGGTAATAAAGTATTTATATAAATTAGGATTATTATTTATCACGTCGAATATACTACGGTGAAATACACTCTGTGTATACTCTGTGTTTCTGTATGAAAAATGAAAAATATTATATATTATTATTATTAATATTATTTCTGTTTATAATTACTATCGGTCTCCTCGACAGATAATCATCCAGTAATCCAATAATATAGCGTCTACAGCTATATAGTTATACAAATATATATAAGTATATTAACTAAAATAATATTATATAAAAACACAATAAGTACGCGTATTCCGTTTAGTTTGAATAATATATAATAATATATTTGTTACTTACAGTACAGTTATAATAATAATACTAATTAATAAAATAGGTAATATATACCCGTTATAATATCAGTATGACTTTGAATGTTAATATTAAAATATTATTTTATAATTATATAATGTAATAGTTTCTAAAATCATTAAATCAAAATACTATGTTAAAAAAACAACTTCCAAAAACACTAGTTTAAATCTTTAGTCACATTGAAAAGATATCATTCCCTTTTCTAAAATAAAATACTCAGCCAATTAATTTCTAATTGATTGGGCATTGGTTGCACTGTTTCTTGGAACCCTAGTAATATTGTTGAGCCTTCCTCCTGAATCAGTTCGATATGTGACTGAGCAATCCACATCAAATGCTCCATTGAGATTATAAACTGTTTAGACTCATTTTTTCGTAGAAAATTATGTAAATAAACTATGGCCAATTCGATCTTTTTGGAAGTTTTTAGTTCCAACAATAATGATTTTCTAAGTATGCCAAAAACAGTTAAACATAAGCCAAGTTATGATTCCGAAAGTGTTCTCAGACACTCTACGAGCTCTATTAAGTCGGTAATTAAAAATTCTTTTCGATGAACCCTTTTCTTGTATGCCGGCGTATGGCTTCATAATATTGCACGAGAGGGGGAATGCATCATCAGCAACGAAAACAAATGGTATAGATTTATTTCTTCCAGGAAGCTTGCAAGGGTTGGGTAAGTTTATTGAGTTATCTTCTAAACTTTTTTTGAATTTTGTTTCATTAAATACACCTCTACCCAAAATTCGACCTTGACAGCCTATATTTGCATAAGTAAAATTGTAGTTCGCGTCTACAACTGCAAAAATAACAATACTAAAAAAAACCTTATAATTAAAAAACTCAGTCCCACTGTCAATTGGTGCCTGCAGAGCAATCCGCATCTGATTTTGTCATTTGGCAAAGCCAGATGGCATATATCGGCATAGTGTGGACGCGCCTTAAGAAAACAAAATAGGTACTAGTTATTCATTATTATGTATAATCAATATTATTACTAAATAAGTCAATGTCTACGAATTGACAATATAAATAAACCTGTTGGCTGTTGAATATTAAATTAATTTGATTTAAAATTGTTTTAATTAAAACCGTATTAAAATAATTTTGACTTTAATGATTTTAACTTTTTTCGATTTCAATATAAATTTTGAAAATTATTACCAACCATTAACGATTTTGATTAGAGATGAAATGTAAATTCGAATAATAGAATTAAATAAAAATAGTTAAGTAAGTAGGTAGTAAATTGTGTTAAAATTAAATTTCTCAATTTAAATGTTTAAGTAATCTCATCAAACTATATATTTAGTTCGACTGAAGAGTTAAATTTCTAAAAAAAAATCATTACGGGTCAAAATAAAAATTACTTTAAATACCAACAGTTAACTGATGATTTAACACAAAAAAAAAAAAAAAAAGAAATATAACAAACATCTAGTGTATATGCAACTCAACATACTTATAATCACTCTATATCGGATGTTCCCTTATATATTGCTGATGGACATCCCACCAATTAAGTAACGTTGATACGTAACTATTGATACATGGGTACTAATTATTATATCTGGCCTTCAGGCTCCGAATTTTTGATAATGATAATTTGTGTAATGCATTTCTTATATCAGTGGTCTAATATAAGTTATATAGTACATAATTGATAATTAAATAAAAAATGTGTTTAATTTTGTATTTTTTAATAATTTTCATTTTAAGATTTTTTAATTTTTAATATTCAAAGGTGCAGTTTTAACACTTGTATATTTTATACTCATCATAATTAGTCTTCGTATTTGGTTGACCATATAAAATGCTATTCAGAATAACTTGTCCTGTACAATATGAATAATTATGTATTAAAACTTGCACGTGGATCTCCATTAAGATAACGGATTTACAAAAAATGCAGAGATGGTATGTACATGAGAATAGTTATTTAAAGAAATTTTGGATTTTAGTGTATAATTAGGTAAAGCATTCGCTATGATCAATGAAACTGAAATTTACATATCAATATTCCAGATGAAGACAGATAAAATATTTATGTATACATAAATTACATTACTTTTTTTAAAATAATATTATAAATTATTACTTATTTATTAAATTTAATCCACGTCATATATTTAACTTTAATATTTTAGAATATATCGATTTTATAATTATGAAAATCTAACAAGAATAACAGTGACAGTTAAAATATGAATCCAATTTAATAATAAGTAAAAAAAAGTAATATTAGATAAAACTATCTTCAACTGTATATTGGATTAAATGTATAGTAGTTAAATTTAATTGTTTACCAAAAAATTCACACAAATGTAATTTGAATGACTTCACTTTATGATATATTTATTGATCATAAATAACATTGAAAAGATTCATAACCTCAAAGTGACTTTTTTTATGATCAATTGAAATGTGGAACAAACTCATTAAGTGGGTAATTCCAATAATAAATATACATTTTTTTTGTTTAACTAGATTAGGCACATAAATAATCTCTTAAATTACAAAAAATAATACTTTTCAATGAAAAGTTAAGATTTATTAGCAAAATGAAATTTCAAGGTATTTTTTAAGCCATAAATAATATAAACATTTAAAATATAAATTACAATTGAATTAAATCATAATTATTATCATAATATGATAATATTATAATTTATTTATTTTTATCTATTTATTTAATATATTAAATAATACAGGAGATAAATGATTTAATAATCAGCTATTTCTAGTTAAAATGTCATTTAAACAACTGCTTAGTCTATTTAAGGTAAGTTTTCACAACTGACTAAAAAAAATATAGAACATTTTTGAATACTGTTTTAACTAGGCTTTTTAAGATATTTCACGTTTATAGAGTTGGCAAATAATTATATCATAGCATTTTAAAATAATTAAATAATATTAATTATGTTTAAAACTATTGTTACAAAATTCTTAAATAAAATAATAACTGTAAAATTAATATTAAAAAGGTACTTATTATCAGTTACTATATTCTAAATTGTTAAGTAAAATTATCAAATAGTTCTATTAGGGATATCTTAAACACTTATTCATATCTATGTATTTGAACATTGTATACACGAGTACTTAATATCTAAAGAAATACATTTAAAAACACACAATAATATAGTAATACAAGATTAAGTGTTAAGTATGTTACTAAAAATAATCTTATACTAGTAAAATTAAGTAAAATAGTTATAAAAAAGGACATAACCTATATGAACACTATATGAAAAAAATAATATAATACTGCAATAATACGATATAATACTGTTAAATGTCTTGAGTTTTAAAAAATAGTTGATATTCAATATTTGTCTATCATAGACCTATCATTAAGAATGAGGAAATCATTATAAAACATCATTATTAAACTTAAAGTTAGGATTTAGGAATATATCATGGCGTTTGAATAATCAGTCAAAAGCAGATTTCCTAGAGAATGATGCCAGAGAAGACATTTCTGTAGGCTCTGTAGGAAGACGGCTAAATTCAATTGTATCACTGGAACTGTTGTTTACATCTAAAGAAAAAAAAAGTTAATTGTTAACAAAAGTATATAAATAAAAAAAACTAAAACCTAAAATCTTAACTAATGAGTCATAACAAAAACAATTTTTTTTATTATTGCCATTTTTAATTTATATTTGTAATTTAAATACCGTCTAACACATTAAACATGTATTTTATGGTACTAATATTTTTATAAGTAATAATTATAGTAATAGTAGTAGGGATAAAAATTATTTTTTTATAACATTACCAATTTCAGAAGGCCAGTGTTTGTGAGAAGGAGAATACAATACAATTAAAGCAAATATATATATATTCCACATTCCATAAACACCGATTAAAAACGCAGATGCATAATTGAGATTATTCGTTTCGTTCCATTTCCAATGTCCTTCTGAAGCCTAACAGACACAAATAAAACAGAATTTAATTTTAAATACAATGCAATTTTATAAAAGCAATTTATTAGAATAATTTACCTGGCCCAATATGAATCCAATTACAGTTAAAGCTGCACACAATAATGTAGCTATCATTAAAAACTTAAATCTATAAATACTCCCTTCGTAATGTAACCTCCTGGCATTTGACATAGATGGCAATGCTGATCTTCGAGCACTGATATTGCAGAACACTTTCCATATCATGTATGATAAAAATAAAAAGTAACATCCACCAGATATTGCCGCTAATATTATGAAACTTAACTGAAGTTGTTTACATTAAAGAAAATTATAATTGTAAATTAAAACTATGTGCAATACAATAACAATTATATATTTAAAAGGATACAGCTAAATTGGTGCCTGTATTAGTTGCCCAAATAGAATAAAAGGGATTCTTTAATTGTGCTCCTCTTTCACACATGTCAAATACAAACAAAGAAATACAACCAACAGCAACAGCACTTAAATGTTTCCAATATGTACGTAGATTTTTCTGATGAGAATCCTATAATTATATTATTCAAAAAAAGCATTATAATTTTTGAGTCGACAGTAACAGTAAAATAAGATAATATTATACACCACTTTGATGTTGATAAAATTAATAATAAATTATAAAACTACTGTTTAACCCAAAATTAAATTCTTACACATTATTATAATCCACATTCATTATAAATTAAATTAAAGTAAAAAAAAAAAAATTATATTTACCTGAATCTAAAGAAGAACCACAATTTTAATTGAACATATATGAAACAAAATTAATGTTTATTATAATTAATAAATATATATGTGTCAATTTAGCAATAAATATAAATATTTCTTTATAATTACAGAAAATATTTACCATGAGATGTTCACCAGCAAAAATCAGCCAAAAAGAAAGTAATGCAGCATAAAATATTCCTTGTCGTATGTCTTGCAAGAGCAACATGAATGGCATGTCATAATATAATGTCAAAAACTCAGCAGGAACTAAAATTAAAAAATTTAATTATACAAGATTTATCATACAAATATACTATATAGTGTTCAATATTAAATTTATATATAAAAATCAAATGATTTTTTATTATTATATGCACGTGTTGTACTTAAAATATATTATTTTCTATACATATTTGTCTATTAACCATGATAACATTAATGATTACAAAAATAAATAAATTCTCGATTAAATGTGTAAATTAAATATTTTTTTTTTGTTGCTATATTTAATAATTAGGTGAATCTTTCAAATAATTAAATTTAGAATTAACCGAACTATTATAATTTACAGTATATAATTGTCTATATTAGTAAAATAAAAATTAAACTGTTAATTAAATTACATAAAGGTTATAACACTAAAAAGAGACACATGCTAGGTAATAGTTTTATTTTTTTAATCAAAATAAGTACATAAATATCACTTACGATTTAAAAGTGTGAGTGCAAATCCAATTGTCATCAACATTTTTTCCAGTAAAACTGGTTTACGGGCTAACATGTGAACTCTGTTCCAAAACCATATCATAATTGCTACAATAAATGGAAAAAATATTGTTTTCATGTAAAGCCAAACACTAGTAAACCCGCCATTTTGATTAATAACCTTAAATAAAAAAACAAAAACATATAATTGTTGAATAAATATTTGAATAAGAATAATCAGATAGATTTATTTTTGAAATTAATTATCGATAAAGAAAATTAATTATTAATATTGTGAAAGATAATTTGGTACTATGAATACCTTAAATATTTTTAAAAATGAAATGTTGGTTTAAAGTTTATTTTTATTCATGAAAATTTAAAAATGATAGTTATATTAAATATTCTGTACTTATGTATTTCTTTGAAAACATTACACTTAATTTAAAATATTGTAACATTCTTACCACAAGCCAAACATCTTTTAAATGACCCAAACCAGTGTTTATTCCTCTCTGTTCATCAACTGGAATTTTTATATTGATTAAATAATAATCGTGGTATAATGATCCAAGCTCAAAAAGTGGTACTAATCCACACTGATAATTATGACCATCAATTTTCTAAAATTAAAAAAATTAAGGAGGAAAACTTTGAAATAAATAAACAAGAAAATATATTACCTCTTCTGAAACACAATCTAAATTACGTTTTTCAATAGAAGCAGCATATAACTTCCAGTCACCATCTCGATCTCCTTTATTGCTATAACCAAGCTTGGCATCCAATGTTAATTCAAGATTACGATCTAAAAATTAATTTTAAATATTTACGATTATCTAAATAATAAAAAATTAATTAAAAAATAAAAATAAAAACTAATTTAATATTTTTTACTGTTAATTATTAATTAATACTTGACAATGGCACAAGTATTTTTTTAAAATTACATATTAACAACACTATATTTTAATTTATTCTTATTCATACTGATTTAACTATTAAATATTAGTTAAAAATAAAATAAAATCATGAAATTTAGTAGATGAAACGTTATTTTAATTAATTACATTTATTTTTTTTTCATTGTTTTTAAAAGTAAAATAATTAAACTAGATGCCTAAATATTAATTCTAAATTAATCAAAATAATGAAGTGATAAAAGTATTCATTATAATAGATATTTTTTTATTTTACATTCAGTTATGTATTTTTATTAATTAAACATGCTTATCTAAAAAAAATAATTATTTATTAAATTTATGAAAATAAAAAAATCAAGTATTCAACACAAATAATTGATTTACATATATAGGTACAAGATTTAAAATGTTTTACTAAAATATAAATAATTGTATTATTGTTCAATTAAAAATATAAAAGCAAATAAATTAATGGTTATTATACCCATTTTGGTGCCTGAATGATATTCAATGTCAAAGTTAAGAACACCAATGAGATTCTGTTGCCATCGAGAATAATCCAATTTTAGGCCATCTCGCGGAGTAGGAATCTATATAATAAATTTGATAAGAAATCATTAACCATACAATAATCAATAGATGGACTGCTAAAAACGGCTACTGATTATTTTTCATTCATACTTGGAAGGTAAACACAATATCATTAGCCATTGAATTAGAGGCCGGATTATCCTTGTAAACATCCAGGTAATGAGGAAGGCACATGCCATTGCCTCTGATGTACGACCAAGGGTTGCTATCATTGTACAAGCATTTTGTTGCCAAAACCATGTCGGTAGCGGACGGAGGAGGAGCTGCAAGTGAGAAACGAATACGAATAAATATCGGTACGGGTTTGGAACATGGTGCAACAACAGTCGCGTACAGCGCTATGTTATGACTTACCTACGATTCCGCCGATCAAAAAGCTGGCCAACTGGCAAAATAGCAACGATGCCACGAGCACGAACAGCTTCTTGCCGCTCAGATTTTCCAGTATGACTCCGCCGGCCATCTTACGTCGGTGTATAATATAATTGTTATGCTTTAAACGCCGTCACGCAGCAGAGTACGTATCGAGAACGCGAGTTTTGCTGACGAACGAGCACAGTGACTGGCGATACGCGATCAAACGACGAGGAGAACGTGTGATGTCCGCCTTGTTGTGTTGAATCGTCGTGCAACATCAAAAGAAAAATGTCGTGCGACCGAAGATTATTGGCGGTGCCACACTCGTTCGTGATAACAACGTTTTTGTGTAACAAATGTAACAGGCAAACGAACGATATGCCGGAGACAATGAACGCCGCGTTATCAGGCACGCGCAAACACCGGAACATTGGTTACCTCCACGGTTCGATTGGTGAGCACATCCATGTTGGCGCGAGAGTCGTAAATACGGCGCGGCAATGGTGACCGGTAAACGGTGCAGTATGTACGTACCTTCCCGCCGTGACACTTCACGAATTGTAGATTATCAGACTTCATCAAATTGTTTGCAATAAATTTAGTATGCAATTTGAACATTAATTTTTTTTTTTTTTTTACGTAATATTGATTGTCCGCGAACTACGTCATTACCGTTCTGACAGGTTAGTAATTTTGATGGTTCTAACACGTGCGCACACCCGTGCATTTTTTAAGGGATTTCGACTGGGCGACCAATCATTTTTTTCTCTCGAAATAATCAATGTATAGTATCAGGAAGATTATATTTCCCGATTGTTCCGTATAATTTCTCCCGGTCTTTGTAAAATACGAATACTATCAACAAGGTGAAAAAATATTTTCACCAGGTGACATTTGTTGGTGCCTAGTTGAGTAGTTTAAAAAATGCACTGTGTTTCACTTAAAATAAAAGCAAATCATTTGTCTTATAAATTATGACACCAAGTTATATTTTTTCTTATAATTATTGTTCCATTCTGAGGGATTTTATCTACATTTTTACCTTCTCTCTTCTCTTTCTTTTTTCAGTTATTCAAATAGAGAGCATGGTAGTAGATACTTCATTTTACGCATAAACAAATTTAATTTTCCAAAATGATTTACCATGGTTCTAGTTAAATAATTCTCATTAAATATAACTTCGGTAAAGTTTCAAAAAACTACAATTTATTATTTAGAAAAATTTAATTTAATATTAATATACTTTTGTAAATTATTAGCTATATATTTATTAATATATAACAGAAAGAAAAAAAGCAACTCTTATTAAAATATAATTTTTTTTTTTTATTTAGAGTGTATTTTGAGGTATTGAATTCATATTCTATGTTATCAATTCTTAAAATGTATTTAATATTTATGGTTTAATTTATGTCCCTTATTTGAGTGTTTGAAGCAAACCTTAGTTTGATCTGGTTACAAATCTGAACGCAAAAATGTATTTATTTTGATTAAATATAGCTGTATAAAAAAATAAAATCTTATGACTCAATTAATAATTTTTTCAATTATAAATTAATATAAGTCAATAATTATTAAAATAAATAAATTTTAACTTTAGTAGTTTTAATTATGTATAAATAAATAAACAAATATCTAACATATTTCTGTTTATTTATTGTTAGTACCAGATAATTTTTAGAGTAATATTTTCTGATTTATTTGTTATGATAACCAATAAATTTCTTCCAGATGGATAGGCAACCCTCAGAAAAAATAAATCTTGTATACTTAAATAAAAAAATATAAATAATCATCGTATTATTAAAGCAATTTTATCATATACTTTTACACATCATACTACATAACTTAATTCTAGTAAATATAAATATTCTCAGATTAAAATATTAGTAGTTATATCAAAATAAAATACAAATTAATATAAATTGACTTAGTATAATAATGATTATGTATATAATAAATACATATTATTATTCTAGTTAGGTATAATTCATATTATTATACATATATATAGATATCAAATATAAATATAATTTTAGAATTTTTAATCAATTTATTAAAAAAAATATTTTTATATTGATTTTTATTTTGATAATTAAGAAATTTTTTTGCAGCAACCTTTCCAAAGTATTTTAAATTAAAGCAGTGGAAGTTGTAAATAACATTAAATCAAATTAGTATTTAATGGTTGTTAATAAAAATTTTATTTTATTTTAATATTGATATTTAATGTCAATATTAATACAATAAATACAATATCTGTATCATCTTTATTCTTTATCCAATACAAATTGTATTGATTTCTTTTAATGATTTTAAATGAAAATTTTTAGCTACCTATTTATTATAAGGTGTTTAATAAATATATTTATGTTTATAAAATCAATCTATAGTTAATTTTTCTTCTTCTATGAGTTCCTATATTTTTTGGATGTTGGATATCATGATTGTAGTTTTGTTTTTATCAAGTGATGCCCAAAATAAATCAATCATTGTTTTAGTATACCAGTCCTGGAGAGCAATCAATTTTTAATTCTAATAAATAATTTAATATGCTTTTGCTTATGATAAATCTAAATGAATAACATATATATATATATATATATAAGTTGTTAGATAAATAATGAAAAATGAATTAATTATAATAAAAATCTTTTACACAATAAATAAGGTTTATTTTACCATTTTTTCCAACAATGGAGTAACTTGAAAATGCTGTCTTGGAAATACACAGCACATTTTTGATCAAAGTATTCTGTAATATTGTTTTAGATACATCATCAATTTATCAAAAAATAAAACAATAAATGATGACCGATAAATTAAAACGTCAGAAAAATTGAAAGAAAAAATGTAATTTTTAGAAAATAGGGTAATTACTCTCAGAAAATGTAAAACTGTTGCATAAGAATGCAAAACCAAATTCAGCGAGAAAAACCAAAGCTTAGCTGGAAAAATACAAATGGGAAGTATTACAACATACACAATATTGTCCTATTCAGGCACCTTCAAATTTTTTTTCTGGTCTGTTAAAAAATACATTTCAAAATGAGGAGGAATTCATAAATGCAGTTATTGAAAACTTTAATTAAAAATGTGCTGCATATTTCCTAGATGGAATTTTCAAGTTATTCTATCATTGAAAAAAATGCATCAAATTGAATAGTGATTGTACAAAAATAGTAAAATATATCTTGTTTATTGTGTAAAAGTTTTAAAGTAATAAATACATTTTCCATTAGTATATTTTTTACCTTATTTATCAGACTGCCTACATAGCTGATGACTTTAACTTTATTTAGAGGGCCCTTGTGTGCTTATGCTAACAACATATTATTTTACTAGTTAATTGAAAAATATAGAAAGATATATTGAGGATTTTTATAATTACATTATCAGAGAGCACAAAAATAGCTTTTTAAATTATGTTAAAAAAAATTATTAAAATTATAAAATGTATTCAAAATGTATGTATTATATGAAAAATATTGTTGTTCGATAGATTGACAATTTGTGTTTCATAACTTGAAAACGGAACTGTGTCTAAAACTATTAGAAGTCATTATGGCACCAAAAAGAAAAACTCGCAGTAAAATCATGACAAAGAAAAGAGTACCAAAATCTCATATATCTCAACCCTCTGATATAGAAACACCATCACCATCAACAATTAGGCAAAATAATCCAGCTATTGAAGAAATTACATTAACTAGACTCAAATCTTTAAATATAAAAAAAAATCCAACATATATATCTCTGAAAAATTTAGTTAAATCCCGCGAAGATAATTCTCAATATATGTTGACAGATGATGAATTAGATCAAACTCAATGGTTTCTTGAAAGTATGTTAAGCTCTATAATGTTTCGCAAAATATCAATTCAAAATGAACTAGCATCATTAAAATCAATACAGTCAACTAGTTCTCAAGGTCCGTCTACAAATAATCCTTGTCCATCTGCTATCAGACCAAAACCGGTTGCAAAAATACCACTTTTAAATGAATATATTCAAAATAAATCCATTAAAAAATCAAGAAAAACAAAAGAAAAATCTGAACCAGAAAACAAATTTTGGTCCACGGTTAAACCATATTTAGCACATGTGGATAAAAAAAATCTTCTTTGGTTAGAAAAAATGGTTTTATCTTACGAGCTCAGTGATGATATATTCAAAGTACCCGCTTTAGGTGAACATTATTCAAAAAATTGGACACAAAAAGATTTGAAAAATCAAAAGAACCAGCCGTCATGTTCTCAGACAGTTACAAAGAATAAACTATCTACGCCAGTAATGCCTAATGTAGTAGAATTAGTGAATAAAATTAATCTTATTGCACAAAATAATGATGATTTTCGACCAATATATCAAAGAGTTACCTCAGCTCTTTTAGAACATTCAAGCTTGACATTTAAAGACTTTGAAGAAAAACTAGTAGATGGAAAAAATAATGAAGACGAATTAGATCAAATGAGTAATTCTTGTAAAAAATTTAATGAAGAACAAAATGTTGAAAAACAATTTCAGGAATTAGGATTAAAGGATTGTCATTCTAAACTAGTGCCACCAACTATAAAATCACCACCTTCTTACACTAAATCTGATGAAGATGATGATGAAATTTTAGATGAAATAAACAAATGTAATATAGCATTAGCTGAGCTACAAAATATCAACAAAAATCACTTAACTAGCTTACTGAATAGATGTCGTGAAGACTATTTTCAACAAAAAACATATAAAAAAATGAAAAAAGTGGAAAATGAAATTTTGAACTATAAAAGACAACCAAATAAATTATTATCAAATGATGAAAAAATTGCTCAATATTCCAAAGAAAATTATGAGATGAAATTATTAACTGACAAGCGCAACAAATACCTAACACAGTTGCATTTAAAAAAAGTTGATCCTGATAAGTATTTAAGTAATTTTTTTTCGGATGAATCAGAATTAAGTGATGAAGAAACTAACCAATTTCAAGAACATTTTGAAGTGCCCACATTTAAAAATGTAATGGATATTCATCACACTTTGGAAACAGATGAGGAATCAGAGTATAAGACTGAATAAAATGTTGGAATATTAAAGTATAGTACAACCTATTAATCTTAATTATTTTAATTCACAATACCTTACTCTTTAGTGAATATTTTAAAACAAATTTTAATTTAGGTATAACATAAAAATTATTTTTATTAACATATTCCAAAATGTAGAATCTATGTTTTTAGTTTGATGTAGTTAAATTCAACATTAATATACATCATTTATTTGAGAAAACCCACTTATTAGATTCTAAAGAACATATGAACATGATAATATTATCTTAATTTATTTATTTTAAACTAAATTATTTAAATTATTTGTTCACATTTATTCATGTTTTATTTAATTATCTGTTTTCATATATTATATTTTAATTCATTTTCCCATTTAACTTGTTCATATTTATAACTTACATTTTTTTTATGTTGTGTAGGATCAAGAATTGAATTAAAATTTGTATTTATATATAGTTATTAATACTTTTCATATTATTTATTTCATATCATTACCAATTATGTAATATATTGTTCTTATATATTAAATTACTATTCAAAAATTATTAATTGTCTAATCTTATATTTATATTGTTTCCAAATATGTAGTTTTTATTAAGTAAGGGAAAAAAAAGTTTTACAAGATTAATCAAAGGATAAAAATATGATAAAATATACTTAATTTATGCATAAGTTAACTTTTGAGTATTAAATTTATATTATTTTATGTTTAATCAATATTATATTTAATTTAATCAAATGTATTTTCAGTTGATGTATTTTTGGTTAATTATGCACTTAATTATTATTTATGGCTAAGAAAGTTATTACAAAATAAATACATTTTCTTGTTAAATAATATTAATTTTTGAGCTGTATAGTCACTGTCTTAAAACTAATAAAAAAGAGTTATTGGTACTAGTGAATATTTATTAATCCTATTTACTGTTAATCCTGCTTTTTAATTATATTTTGGTATCAAGGTTGTGTCTTATTTTGATTATTTTTTTCATCTCAATTTCTATGATGGTTATAATACAGTGGCGACTAGATGCCACTAATGTCTATTATTACTATTGTTTATCCTATAATTTTCTCTCTGAAAGGTGGAAATCGATTTAAAAAATAATCTAACCATGATCAAAAATCGTATTTTATTATTTATTAATAGTCTTGTTAAGTGTAAACCTTTTTATTATTATTATTATTACTATTATATTGTCATGTATAGTACAACATATACTCGTATTCAATTAACAGCGTAAAAGTGAATACATTTTTTTTCAAGCACCTATTCAGTATTATGATGCTTAATAAATAAATAAATGCATTTTAAAAAGTGTTCACGTTTTTAAATTTCAATGATGAGTTATTTGTATGAATCAAACAAAATACACGGTAGAAACAATAGGTTTACAAATTTTTAAAAATTGCTTAACGTGTCTATGGAATCTTCATACGTGTCTCAATAACTAAAAATAATTTTAAGTAAGTAATTAAAATAAAAAAATCAAGTGTATGTAGACACGCGTATTCCGTCTATAATCCGAACATGTCATACACATTAAAAAAACTGAAGGGCACATGAATCCCGTGGCACGACATACTCCGTGTTTGTCTTGTGGGTACGTTTCTACCAAAGGTGGGACTAGGAATTTTTACGCCCGGGAAAAATGTTAAAATTATGCCCTACCATAAACCAATAATCAAATACTTTAATCGGGAATTTTTTTCTAACAATTAATATACAATCATACTTATTGAGCTTTAACCTAATATTGGTATTTAACAAGGTTAAAAATATCAAATCGGTTGTTAATAATTACAAAAATTACACCCTCTAAAACTTTACGCCCAGGAATGAATCTCCGTCTTTCACTTCTTAGTTCCGCCCTTGGCTTCTACCCGTAGAAATGCTGTTCTTGTCAAGCGGTTAATTTCGGACGCTAGTACCAGAGATCACATTAATTGTTTCATTTAATCTGTCCTAGTAGTCAGCCCACGTTGTCTCGTCTAAAGGATTCCTCACTATAATAACACGCGGTTAATCAACGAAAATTCCACCTCCATGTTATCAACTGATAACAACAATTATTGTATAAACATTCGACCACAATTCGACCGGCAATATTAGATACAATCGAGAGGTTAGTAATAGAGATAATTTAACAATCTATAGATTCTCTCGGTCAATTTAGAAGTTAGTAATTTAGTACTAAATATTTTATTACGAAGTCATTCGCCCAGTCGTTGGCATGGTTAACTACTAGTAGATAGTAGTGGTTATAAGCATTCAACCATTTGACATTCGATTATCACAGATTGACAACGAGTGATTTTGATAACCGAGAGAAATTCACTCGAAAAATCCTCTCGGTCAATCTAGTGGATACTTTCAACTGATTTCGATACATAGAGAATCACTCAATCATTTTCAAAACAATCGGGAACAATCGAGTATTTTCTTTCGATTGTTCCCATCACTAGTTCTAATAACAAATTTCTTCAAAAGCTTTTACAGTGATAATCTCATTTTGATTTACGGCGTCACAATCGTTTTAAATACGAGTCAATCAAATCCAACCAAGCAACGGTTCGTAAACGGCTATATTATTATGTTTAAAAATGCTGAGAAGTATACGACTGATAAGTCATACTTTTTAAGTTTATTAAATTAACGTGTAAACATCAAAACTACATATAATTGATTTAAATTACTTATTTTATCATTGCAAATTTGTTAACTACCTAGTGTAAATTTCTAATATGTTAAGATTAAATACTAGTCAAATTAGAGTACTTTTATGTTTACTTTAATATCAAACTTTGGATTTGAAATTCAGATATACTTGTCAATAGTAAAAAAAAACTTAAGTGTTGAATCATCTTAATTTTAGTTTTTTTTTATGAACAATTAAACAAAAACATAAGTAACTGTTCCAATTTATCCAAATTATCACAGAAAGCTGCTAGTAAACAAAGGTTAGATAACAAAAACATAATAACAATTATTATAATTATTTTAAACTCGAATAGGTACAACATTAATCTGCTATTCAGAATTATTTTGTTCGTCTGTAAAAGTACTAAAATAATTGAACAGTCTTCAATATTAGTAATACTTGTATTATAGCATTCATTTTAATTTTTATTTTTTCATTAATTATGTATGTTAAAATACTTACCGTGTATATATAATTGGTGATAATTATGTTTATTGCTCAAAATTAATACAAATACAAGAATAGTACCTATATGATACTAGATGATTAATTGCAATATACATTTATTTACATAATTTTATAATTATATAATTTATTTAAAAAACTTGAAATGTGAAGCAATTCAAAATGTTGAAATACTTTTGATACAAATCCAAAAGGTATTTAAAATTAATTTCTCTTAGTGTTTATAGTTTTACAAAATTTATTTTATGAAGTTAAAAATATTTACTTTATCAACTATATCAAATATCCAAGAAACATGTATCATACAAAGCATTTTGTCAGAAGTATACTTATAAGAACAAATATTTACAAAGTAAGTCACTGTATTGTAAATATAATATTAAATACTCTATAATATTGATGATAATATAGTAGGTGTTAAAATTGATGATCCAATGTTTAAATTTTAGGATTTATTGATAAATCGCACTAGGATTTTGTCTGTAAATCATAACAAAAGTATAAGTAGAAAAAAAAGCTCAACTACAGTGGCTAAAATAACGAATAACCAAGAAATCAAGAAAGAACATAAATATGTATCTGAATTATACAGTTAGTATAATTTTACAAATAATTAATGTTTTGATTTATTTTATTTAATAATTCACATTATATTTTAATCTATGTAGATTTTTCAAATGCTAATATATACACCTCTCGGACTCATACGTGTGGTCAACTAAGAGCTGAAGATTCTGGAAAATTAGTTATTCTTTGTGGCTGGTTAGAACATGTACGATTAAATCGTTTTATTATCTTAAGAGATGCTTATGGTTCAACACAACTCATTGTTCCTGAAAACGCAAGTATTAATTTTATATTTTACAAGAGTTAATGAGAAAATTATCAAAATTTTTTATCTAGGTATTGACCTAAAAATTGCAATTAAGAAATTACCTCTTGAGTCTGTGTTGATGTGCTATGGCACTGTAAAATTAAGGCCTGTTAATGAAATTAATAAAGTAAGTTATTTTATTATGCTATAATCAAAATAGAAGTGTCAAAATAATTGTATTTTATTTAGTAACAAATTTTTTAGAATCAATCTACAGGATCGATCGAAGTTATTGTTGATAATCTAATTTTGCTTAATTCTGTAGACACTAAGATACCTTTTCAAGTACGAACATTTAATAAGGTATGTGTAATAATTGTTTTTGACTAAACATTTCTCATTAAATTTATAACTTTAATTGCAGGCCAATGAAACATTGAGGTTAAAATATCGTTATGTTGATTTACGATTTCCTGAAATGCAGTTTAATTTACGTTTGAGGTCTAAGTTACTGATGAAAATGAGAGAGTTTTTGATTAACAATCGTGAATTTGTTGAAGTAGAAACACCTACATTATTCAAAAAAACTCCTGGTGTAATTACATTTTAATTTAATATTATATTTAGTTTGAATTTACTAATATGATTGTTACTATTAGGGTGCCCAAGAATTTATTGTACCTACTCATGAAAAAGGAAAATGTTATTCATTGGTTCAAAGTCCACAACAATTAAAACAAATGTTAATGGTTGGTTCTGTGGATCGATATTTTCAAGTGGCAAAATGTTACAGGGATGAAGGTGCTAAATCAGACCGACAACCAGAGTTCACTCAAGTAAATAAAAAATAACTGATGTATTGATTAATTTAATCTATTTAATTTTCTAAATTAGTTGGATATTGAAATGTCATTTACGGATCAAAGTGGAGTTATGTTACTGGTTGAAGAAATGTTATCATTTATTTGGCCACCAGAATTGGGTAAAATCAAAATACCATTTCCTCGAATGTCTTATAAAGAAGCTATGGAAACTTATGGTAGTGATAAACCAGATATCGGATGCAGTACAAAAGTAATTATGATGCTTTTTTACATTATTCATTTTTATATCAAACGTCTACATTTTTTTTAGTTAAAGATTAATTAAAAAAATACTTTGGACTGAGACTTCATTTTATTACTTTTTTTTATACATTTTAGTGATGACTTTAGTATATACAATTAAAATCTCCGTGGTGCTTATTATTGAGTATCTAAACATTTAATTAAATCATTTTATTTAACTACGAGATCAAATTATAATGGCATACAAATTAAAATACATTTTTAGTGCTATCTTACTTGACTTACATTGAATATAAATTAAAACTATAACCTAACTAATTATTTTGGTTTTGCATTTAAAATTAATTTGATCTTCTCTTTGCCACTTCAAATTGAATTCTATATATGATTTGAAGTCTTAACAATACTGTTTTTTTTTTATTATTAATTATAAATTTTAAAATACAAGTTTAACATTACAAATTATTTTATTAATTCCAATTAAATATTTCATCTTAGTAATTTCATATAACATTATTAGTATTAATATTAATTATTATTATTATTATTATTATTATTATCATCAGTGGTGTAGCCAAAAAAATGTTGTAAGGGAACTTTTCAATTTTCAATTCTCTCTCTTAATTAGGTACTAACTTATTAATTTTAATAAGTCTATTAAATATAAGTTAAAATGTAAAATTTGTGATCATTTAATTTGTTGAAATTGTGAGAATTGTTTGATGATGAGATGATGTAACATTATGTCTTAAAATTATTATATATCTTACAAAATATAAGAGGAGGGGGTACTACCAGTTAAACTAACCTGGCTATATCACTTATTATTATAATACAAATTATTATAGAAAATTAAAATATATTAAATTTAAAAAATTATATATTCTATATTGTGTATTTATTTGTTGAGTAGATTTCCAGTTGGACAACATTTGTATCAAATCCAACAAATGAAGTATTTGCTCTTATTTTAAAAAACTCAGAAAAAAATATATCAAATAAACAAACCAATGATTTGAAAACTTCAATTTCTACCAATTACCCAGATATTAAATTTAATCTTATAAAAATAAAATCATTAAACATTTTTAAAGAAAGTCTGCCAAAAATTATTCCAGGAATTGATGTTTCTGCTGTACTAACTACAGATAATATACTCGAACATGATTTAGTTGCAATTGCTAGCGGTCCAAAATATGAAGCTGTAAGTTATAAATAGTTAAAATTGTTTATTATGTTTTGAATAGTCGCTTCATAAAAATTATAAAATTTCAGCTATCAGTATTGGGTAAAATTAATGAACATTTTAAAGTGACTAATTCTTGTGTTGATCCCTGGCGTTTTGTTTGGATAGTAGACTTTCCCTTATTTGAAATGGTGTCCAATTCTATTCAATCAGTTCATCATCCATTCACACAACCACAAACAGAAATCACTTCCAATAATTTATTAGAAGTAGGTACTTCAATAACATTTTGTTATTTTATTCTTGTTTTTGTTGTAGTTTTCCATATTAAATTTATTTTATTGCTATAGATTTATTATGTATAGGTATGTGTGTATTAATTGAAGTATGTATTTCTAACTGTTTATGCTGTTTAAACATTTAGTTAGAATTATGATTATTATTCACCATTTTCTTTTCAATATTCTTTAAAAAATATTATGATAAATATATACTATATGTTGTAATTAATTTTTTGAATAATTTTTTTTTATTATATATCAATAACAATAATAATTGAAATTATTTTTGTAGGTCAAAGGCCAACACTACGATTTGGTTTTGAATGGTAATGAAATCGGAGGTGGTTCTATTCGTATACACGATGCTGAATTGCAAACAAAAATTATCAAATCCATATTAAAGTTACCTATTGAGACCATGTCTCATCTAATTGAAGCATTAAGGTCTGGTTGTCCTCCACATGGCGGTGTAGCTCTAGGTAAAAATATTTTTGAAGTCTCAATTGGTAGTCGTAATAGAATTAAAATTAATTGAAATGATTTAATTTATAGGTGTTGATAGATTACTATCAATTTTGTGCAATACAAACAGCATTCGTGATGTTATTGCTTTTCCTAAAACTTTTGAAGGAAAAGATCTTTTGACAGGAAGCCCATCAGAAATCACCAAGGAAGATATGGAAAGATATCATTTAAATTTTGATAACAAAAATAAATAAATAGTAATAAATAAAAGTATATTGATTGACTGATTAAAATTGAGTTCTTTAGAATTGATTATTTTGCTCACATTTTTATAACTAATATAGTTTACCATGTATCACACACATCTACATTTATACTTTCATAATTTTTAAAATCAGTTATAACATTTTCTTGAACAGTCAATTGCTCGATACAACCTCGAAAATTACCTTTAAATAAATCTTGTCTATCATTTAAAAAGTATTTCTCTTCTGGAACACCACCTATAATAATAATTAATGTAAAAAAATCTTAATCAATATTTTTAGATTTTATTTTTAATTACCTAAATAAATTATGTTTTCGTTCAAATTGAATGATTCTATATTGTGGTGATATGGATCTGATATCCAATCATCTAATTCTAATGTTACATCTAATTTTGTGACATTTAACCTTACCATATGCCATTCATTATTTGTTATATTTGACAATGGCGCTATTAGTTTACTTGGCATTTTATACTTTTGCCCCCAAGTTGCTGTCAATAATCCGTTAATTATACCTAAACCCAAGTACCACTCCTCCTTTAAATAATAAGTACAATTATAGATTTATTATAAACTTTTTGAGAATAAGTGAATGTATGATTATTATACCTGTGACGTCCAAATAAGTAATCCGTTGTCATATGCTGTTGAGAAGTTTAAACTTATAAATTGTGTTTCATTATCCACATTGTCTTCATCGTTACCTTCTCTTTTAGTAAGGGATGATATTTTACTTAGAACTAAGTATCCATGTCCTTTAAACAGTGGTGGACCAGTTGGAAGCTCTATTATAAAATGTTGAAATTCCATTATACATTACATACTTATTTAAAAAACTGGAAAAATTAATAATTATTTTAAATTTAGTTAAGTTAAGTTTGTTTTGATAAAATATCCATACAACTAGGTACAATGTTAATTTCTGAAATACTATCATTTTCAACCAGTAAATTGTATACTTAAATAAAATAATAACTTGGGTTAAATACATATTAATAGTCACGGGAAAGTCCTATGTTCCAGTTTATTCTCAATCTTTATGTAATCATTTATTCTTACTACATGAATATGACAGTATGTATCACAGTACAAAAAAAATTAAAAAACTAATTTTGAAAATAAAAATAATAGTCAATAAATAAACTAACTATTCCTTAGTTATTTTTAAAATATCCATTTAAAATGATCATGCATCCCTATAAAAAATAGTTAAGTTAAAAAGTTACTTATTAATTAAGTTACAAAGTTCTAAAATAACTTCTTAAATAAACGCATTTGAACAAACATTCCTATGGAAAACAAAGATATCATTCTTTTTTATACATAAAATAAATGTAATACTGATGGTACAGTTTTATAATTTTAATAAATTATTTGTTTTTAGAAATTATTTTGTTACTTGCTATAGTTACTTTAAGTTTAATAAATATTTTCTTAAATTACTGATTCGAATTCAAAAATCCTGTAAGGTAATAATATGCCGAAGAATAGTTTAAACACGTTTAGGTACTAACCACAATATTTTGTACGTGTTATTTGTATTATTTTTGGTGACAAAATAGTTTAAATTATTTATAATAATTATCTAAACTATGATGTAGATTTTATTATTTTCGAAAAAAAAACTATTCGACCACGGACGGCTCCTTCAGTGTGATCCAAGAATTTTTTTTTTAACAGCCCGTAGACTATTGCTTAAATTATTACACTATTTCAATATTTATGTTATAATACCATACGTTTTTTCAGTTATTTTTTTATTTAAAACATGAAGTATAACGCATAATATAAATACGTAGCAAAAATTATTTATTGACTTATTTTATTAAGGGATTAATAATTAATGCAAAATTCTAAATGGTAAATTAAGTTTTAATAATTATTCATAGCGCAAAAAATTACGTAATATTGGGGATTATTATAAATGTATTATTTGTAATTTATAAATTTTAAATAAAGCAAAATTATTATTGTACTGTAAAAATCGCGTTAAAATATAATTACAACCGGCCCTAAAATTCGACTTTAGGCCGGCTTTTCGAGAAATGTACGGTTCTTCTGAGTCCGCCCATGTATTCAACCGACTATTACAACACAAGTGTTATGGTAACGTAATCGAAACATACCTTTTGTACAAAACGGGCCGTCCCACCCAGGTGAGCATTTACACACGAAAGATGTGTTGCTATTTTGGCTCACGCAGTGACCTTTGTTTTGGCACTTGAATTCGGTACAAGGTACTTGCTTGTTACAAGAGTCTCCGGTGAATTCCTGGGTAAACAAACAAAGTTCAATAGACGCCGGATGAAATACGCGTATAAAAAAATACTACAGCGCTCAACACACCTGAGAGCAATGGCAGTGCGGCTTCATGTCCATATCCAACCAGCAACTACCGCCGTGATGGCACAGATCGCCGCCGCACGGGGTCCCGTCGCAATCGGCGATGTTCCTTCCGGCAGCGATCGACGAAAAATTCAACGGTATCGTTTCGTAGTCGACCGACAGTCTCCGGATGCATCCGGTGAACGGTACCGGCAAGCCGGCAGTCGACCCCGGTGGCATGCGTGATAAATCCGGTAGACCGCCTGAACAATCAAAAATCGAAATCGTATACCAATGCCGTTTGAGATCGCCAACGGCGGCGGACGTACTAACCGAAGTATATGAGATTTTCCAAATCAGAAATGCCTTCCGACGGTTGAAGCACCGCGTAGTTGACCATTCCGTCGACCCATAGATAAAGTTTGCGACGGTATCGACCCACTCGTATGCTGTGCCATTCGGATAACGTCAACACTCTACCGCTGCGAACTACCAAAATGTCGTCTTGACGACGTGCATCGCCTGCTGAAACAATAGGTAGCTGTTTTACAGGAGATACTTTGAGACTGCGTCTCCCCTTAAAAAAAAAAAAAAAAAAACACAGCTACTCGTAAATAATAACTGTTTAAAAATATAGAAATATTTTTATTTGAATTGAAAATATGTCGTGTTCTTTATTTATGTAAACTGAAGGCCACAAAATCTATGACCTGCGAAAATTATTATGTGTTAATAATTAATTTTCCAATAAAGGGGTTTCCTTGCTCGTTGTTGTATGGAGTTAATGTTGAATAATTTAAGTTTCTCTAAAATATTTATTACGGGACGCTTGCCATCCTGCTGTTATATAGAATATATCAATTGGCGGCTAAATATGCACAACATAAATCAGATGTACCGTTTGTCTTAAGAGATGTGTCTTTAAGGTGCGATCCCACGGCACGCGGTCCGGTACAATACACGCCCCAAAGGAAATGTAATGCTGCTCGTAATACCAGTAAACGCTCGATCAGTGTGCCGAGAATCATATCATGGGATTGTGTGACGTACGCGCAAGGGCGGATTTAACAATTTTCCGCCCCTATGCAAAATTAAATTTGCCGCTCCTATCCAGATAAAAATAACCTCTACGTAATAAAATATCCTTAAATACATTTTTTCTCTAATATGCAATTATTTTTTCATTTAAGTTAATTAAAAAAAAATACGAATTCAATTAGTTTTTATTGAGTAAAAATGTATACGAGAAAAACATTTAATTATTAAAACCAGGGAATTTAATCTTTCTTGCAACATAGTTAGCCATAAATAATTCTTCATTCTTTTTAAAACCGAAAATGAATGTTCGGCTGCACAGTCAGTAACTGGTGTTGAAACAAATATTCGAAGGACAATTTCAATATTTGGCTAAAGATCTTTCATAAATTACTAGCAATGGCAAAAACGGTGTAATTTTCTTTTCATTAAAATTTGTAAATTGATGAGAACGAAAATTTAATAGTTTATTTAAAAATTCATTTTTTTTTTTATAAGTCTGATTTGTAAATAAGCGAATTGAATCTACTAGAAATTAATATGCAGATATTAGAACAGAAATTACAAAAGTAAAAATTGTTGATTCAAAAACTATATAGAATCAAGGTAACTTTATAAATTATATATTGTTATAAGTATATCTATTAAAAATTATAAAATGAGCCACTAGATTATCAAATCTCCCTGAGCCGTTCTATTTCTAGTCCGCCCCTGCATATACGTATAGTCTAATTTACTTGCAAATAATCTGTTACAAACAATCGGTTTAGTTTAGTTTATTATAAATAGTTGTGATAAATAAGACTTATTTATAAAACGTAGACAGATACTGTTTATTTTTTAGTAATAGTGTTAACTAGGGCACAGATGTTGTAGTTGTCAAAAGATAGAAAAATTAGTTAATAGTATTGCACTAAAAAATACAAAATATTGCGCTTATAAAATTAAAAAGTATACTAAAAAATAATTTATAAGACTTAATTTATTTTAAAAAATGTTACAAAATATTTAAACTTTAAAAAATATAAAGAAATATCTAAAAAATATGTTAATAAATGTATGTTTATGCTTTGTACTCTCAATATAGTGTGTATGGAAAATGTTACCATCTCGAATTTACGTTCCCACACGATACAGCAGGTAAACGTTTACATATATTTATGTTCGTGCACGAAAAAAAATATATTGGTACTTAAATTCCTACACGAAAAAAAATATACGTGTATGTAAGTTCCTACACAAAGAAAAATATATGTTTCGTGACTGAAAAACCAGATGATAATAAAATAAACAAACTTTGCTATTAGTGACAAATTATACAGAAAAAAATATTACTTCCCCCTTTAATATTTAGCCTAGTGCTATTTATTGTAGAAATCTTGCTACAAATGCTTGTGAAAGTTTTCTTTCAGAATTCAACTCATATTGTTATCATCATCCTAATACATTCAAAATAATAGAGGTCTTAAAAAGGTTTCAAACAAATACATATAATAAGAAAATCAGATACCAATAGACCTTTAAAAATCAGCAAAATAGACAAAATTATATAAACATCAAAATATTAGAATTCAACTTAAAACAACTAATTCCTTAGTCTGAATAAAGTGGAAAAGAAATAATTATTCGTATTCGTTATAATTTTTATTCGCGTAAGAATTCACGTAACGGCAATTTTTTTTTGTGCGGAAACTTACGTAGATTTATATAAGGGTGATTTTTACCTGGTACTTACATTCGCCCTACTGTGCAATATCGTTTAACACTAACTTTTTACAAAAAAAAATTGGATTCATCGCATGAAACACACACTCTCAGACACATTCTCATTAAATTCCATAACATTTTTTTTTTTTTCTAAACTGTGGGAAAACTCGGCTTAATTTTCGGCATATCTACAAAAAAATAAAAGAACACAAAATTCACAGTCTGACTGAAGAACAGATTTTCATAAAATCACTTTTCACAAATCTTATTATTATAGAATATATGTATAATAAATCTGATAGTTCCATAAGATACGATAATTTTAAAAATAATCAAACTGAATAAAAAATATGAAAACTATAAATTTTCTAAAAAAAAAAAAAAAACACAAACAATAATGTTAATACACAATACATCAATTGAACAATATATATCAATAAACCATATACTTCAGACTGAAAGTCATTTGTTTAATTTAGTGAAGTCAATAAAATACAATTAAAATGAAAAAATTCCGAAATTGTGAAATATTGCACTTAACATTTTTTAGATTTTAATTTGTACCGACTTGTAATGCATTTAAAACTTATTTAGTAATAAATTGAAGTAGTAGAAGAATAGTTGCAAATGCAACAACATCCGTGGCTTAAAAATAATATAGTTATAATGTTGATGGTACGTATTGTTCAGGCAAGTGTGAAATGTTTTGTTTTTCCTTCACTGCCCATCAAGTTCTGTAATTCTTTAGAATATCTCGACAATATACTCGTACCTAAATACTTTTCATGTAACGTATAAGCATACAATCGTTTTTAAAATTGTTTGGTTGACTAATATTTGTATATTCGATTACTAATTACATATTTGTTCTAAAAAATAACTGATTCATTTGTTTTTATTCTTAAACTTGGAGTGAAAATCATTAAAAAAAAACTCAGATGTACCTCTTACGATTGAAATATTCAAACAAGCGTTTTCACCTATTCAAAATCTTACTTGTAAAATTGTACAAAAAAAAAAAAAACAAAACGAAGTTCTCGAATAGTAATTAAGACATTATTAACCAAATTGTGTTTACAATGCGAGTAAAATAACGTGATTACCGGATGTATAGTATGTAATATTGTAATGTATATTTTTTTAAAAACGAACATGCGTTTACTAATTCGAACGTTCCGACATAATCGGTGTCTTCTAAGATCGGGTAAACGATCGAATAAACTACTTGTTACAAGCAGATTGCGGGGTCAGTCGACCCGGTGGCATACCTTGGACGGACGTCCTGAGTTCCAGCACGCCGCCGTACAGCGACAGACACAAATACTTCTTGGGCGCGACGTCGTGTTTGACGAAGAACACGATGCCGTGCTCGTCCGCGGGTTTGATCTCAAGCTCGACGCTGAACTGCTGCATGTTGAGCTCGGCCGTGGACACGGACAGGAACGAACGTTTGCCCAAGAACCGGACGTCGGACAGCCGCTCGTCGCGGTCGCAACTCTTGCCGGTACGGCCGGCCGGGCAGTCGCACTCGTACCCGGTGCCCACCGGGACGCACGTCGACCCGTCCGAACAGTTGTGCCGGTTCGCGTCGCACGCGTTGTACCGGTGCGAGCACACCGGACCGAACCAGCCGTCGTCGCACACGCACCTGTGCGCAACACATCGCAAAACATAATCAAACGGAAAATACCGTCGTTACGTGACAAACACTGTACTGCGTAAAGTCGTTTATATTGCTTCATGCGTGCTTTGTGATCGCTCTGTATTTACCATGACACTGCTATGGGCGCGCGCAGACCTGCGTTTCAATATAGTGCTCACGATACTTTAAGGCCTTATCTTAACAAAACGTGTCGGTATTTTTAACCGATTGTAACGCATAAACAATAAAACAAACATAACTTAAATATTATGGTATATGAGTCCCAATGAATAAGTTTTCATCGAATATCGTATATTTTCACTGCAAGCTTTTCGTATCAACTGCAGCTGTACATAATACATTTTGCGCGAAAAAATTTAGTTTCATTTTTTCTATTACGAAGTATAATTTTATTTTTTACCAAATATTTAATAAGTCGTATTTAATTTGAACAAAATAAGTTAAAATACAGGCCCCTTAATCTTAGACTTGAATTGTAGGGCCCCGGTTACAACATTTTGGGGGTGCCCGAGGACACCCCCCATGCGCGCGCCTATGATCATTACTACATAACACTTATAAATAAAATAGAAATCAACGTAATGTACGAAAAACAATCTGAACCCAGGAACTGCGTAAAAGTAAAAACAGTCACGAATTGCAAAAACAATAATTTACTTATATATTACTTTTGCATAATTCATGGTTTAGATTTTTTCCGTACATTATGTTGATCTATATTTTATTTTATAAGTGTTATATAGCAAGAGTGGCTAACATTAATAGATTCACGAGCCACATGGATAAATATAATAATTCCAAGAGCCAAATACAAAATAAATACAGATACATTATTAGTAATTTGATAAAATTTGATACATTTAAATCCATAAAATTAAAATTTAAAATAATAATAATATAATAAGTAAATTTCAGTTCTTTAAATAAAGCGCGATCCGCATCTAACAATGACAAGAGCCACATGTAGCTCGCGAGCCGCAAATTGGCCATCCCTGTTATATAGTAATAATAATAAATATATAGCAATTACATATGAAGCAATATAGTGGTACGTAGTTAAACCATGTTGTACACACTGTTAATTAATGATACAATTTTATACAAATGTCCCGCGCGAATACGAACAGGGAGTCAGTAGCACAAGAACCGGTGGCGAATTGCGATGTCTAACATCAGGATCTCAAGACTCAAAAGTATTTTTATATAATAAAAGGTATTTTTAACGCGAAAGAATTGAATAGCGCGTTTAATGATAAGTAACAAGTAATCAGTAAGGAAAAAAAATGATTTACTATGAATATTGAAATACTTGTAAAGCCCTAGACTTACCTTATCATTGAGACCCCAAGATCTTAGTTAAGCCACTGACGAGGCCGTATAGTATATTAGATTCCTCCCCCTCTCCCGACCAGGACATGCGAGCTTTTAGACACGTTATATAATAGTTAATAATAGTTACTCTATTGACTAACTGTCAAAAACGTATAATCCAAATGTTCATCAGTTTATCAATATGTTATAAAATACTATCAGCTAGGGAGTTGTTATAAATTAATTTATATATTAATTATATTAATTTAATAATTTAATTGTATAAATTATGGTATGCTGAAATTATTAGGTAACTATTACCTACTACATATTTGAGTGTTTTACATTTGCTCATTCAATTAAAATTTTTTATGATGTCAAAATGCGACGGAACAATTGAATCATATTTTTCCAAAAAAACTAAAATTGATCGAACCGTAAGTTGAATGGATTAGCCCTGATAAATATCCATGGAAATATACAGTTGAAGACTGATGATGTTCTAAACAAACTGAGAGAAAAAGCTAAGCGTTTAGATTTCCGTCTAGAATAATTGAATGTTTTATTATATTTTTTTATCAATGGTTTTGCATTTTAATTAAAAATTAATAAATCAATAAATCAATTAATCGATAAATTTTTTAATGGTGGGCACCTATTAATAAGTAGCTATACTCTTGCTACTCTAGCTCTTATAGATTTTGATGGTATAATATAGTCATATTAAATTAATAAAATAGTAATTAGTAGCAGATCAAAATATACTTGTAAGTTAAAGTTACAATTATAAGAATAAAGATAAGAAAAAAGTCAGAAAAATGGCGTTTTGAGTATCACGAGAAAACCATTTATTTGTTGTTATTAAAATTGACCAGATTGAACTATTATTTCCTTGTTTGGATTTAGTTCCCACTCCACACCATATAACATCCCCCACCACCATTGGAAATTCCTGGGTACACCACTGAACACGGACAACTACACTTACGCTAACGAGGATCCGTGCTGAATGCATGCGCCGTTATGCTGACAGATGTTGTTCCGGTAACATTCATTGGTCGAGCACTGAGACACGGACCTACCGGTGTTCATTGTGGAATAGGCGTGCGACAAGCTCAACGGGATGTTCACGTGGCCGGCCTTCAGCCTCACCGAACTCATGCAGCCCACAAACCCGGTGTGCAGCGGCAAGTCGTGTGGAAGATCGGCCATCCCCGGAGACTCGTGGCCGCCTGTGGGACAAACAACAAACGAAACGATTACCATAACCGCGATACACGTCGTCGTAATATACCTAAGCCACGGTGTAGGAGTATAACTCTGGTATACAATTATCCCGTCAAACGGTTGGTTTACGGAGGGGTAGAAAAAAAGTTGACCTGCCAATATTAATGTATGCGTACGCAATGGAAATGTCACAGAGCGTTCGGTGTAGTGGAATAATAATTACTTAGGTTGTATAGGTCAACGTGTTCGATAAAATTGTGCTATGATTGTTGAGCCCAAACGAATTTAGGCGTACATTAACTCCCTAACCCTCTTCAAGTACTTTAGTATAAAATTCCAATTTTTTTTACAAATGCCACGCCTTGAAATAATCGATTTTTATTTTTTTTTCTGTAGTAGAATTTTTAATACTAAATTTTAATTATAATAATCGTGTATTTAATCAGCTTCGAATTTCAGCAATTGCTATTAACAAATTAAAAACCTAACAAAATATTATTCATTAATTCATACATGTAAAAACTAAATTAGTAATTACTGCCTACATAAATGCACTAATGGCGTTTATCCAGGAAATCGATAAAAAAACAATTTATAGTAATTGAGAATGTCTTATGGATAATAATAAAACAATTTTCTTGGTAAACTATTTTATAATGTTAATAATAGCGTCATGATGAATTCAATTAACAATTCGAATCTGATAATTGACACGTACCTAAACATTTATTTTATTAACTTTATGAAAAATGTTTTTAAATATTTATTTCAAATTAACCTCAAATATAAGTCGTAGAGTTAATATGGTCACACAAATTTATGCTTAAATCTCCACTGAAGGTAGTATTTTGAGACATACTAATATCTACCAACAATTTTCAATTGATATTACAATAACGATAAAATAAATATTAATAAATACTCTTCTTAGTTTTCATACATAAACGAGGTTAATAAAATTATATTCGATATTTAACATGGACATAGACTATTTTAAAAAATTCATAAAACACCAGGAGGCTATAAATGGTGAAAAGTGTCTAAAATAGCAAATTGTATTGCATATACGAGTGTTTGCGAAGAAATGTAATATTTAAATTTAACTCGTATTGTTGAAATATGTAAAACATTGAATTACATTTTATTAATTTTATATCTGCAATAAATACATATATACTCTTAAGTATATAATTTTCGTACAAATGTATTAAATAAAATTGTACGTATGAGTCATGAGGTTACCTAGGTACAATACTGGTTTGGTGTTCAGTTGAGAAAGACGACCAGCCGATTGGCCAGTGACGTTCGGAAAATTGTCAACCATGAGCCATGCGGTCTTGCCATCACGACCTAATTTCACGACGTGGGTTCTTTTTGGTTGAAAGTTTATTGGCTTTGGGGTGAATATCCTTCGAGCGCCAGCGCCCAGATTCCACGTTAGCACAATGTACCCTTTGATGAAGCTCAAAGCCACGTGATCGGTGGACGCGTCATGTCCTATGTACATCATCACGGCAATTTGATCCATGAAATTCGGTACGAAATGCATCGAGAGTTCAAAACTTTGATGAATTTCAGCCGGTATGGAGTATGATGCAAAAGAAGAAAGTCCACTGACACTGCCCGGGAAAAATGGTTCACTGATCTCGAGGTCTGTTTAAATAATTATAAGCTGTATTTAAGCTGTATTCTTATGGTTATTTTCAATGCTCTGGTTATAATCATAAATCGACGTTAGTAAACATTTAAGTTTATCTGTGTATACAAATCTCTGAGAATAAAATAATTCAGATTAAAATGTATTTTATATTATATTATTTAAACAAATATTCATACAGTTATTTAATAAAAAAGGCGATTTTTTTTAAATTTAGATTTAAAAAAAAAGTAAATTTAGATTTCATCAATAAATAGTTAATACAATAAAATCTGAACAAATATGTAAATTAAATATATGAATCATATTTTGGATGGAGAAAAAATAAATAGAGTTATTACATTTATAATAATAAAATATTGCTAAATAATTTATAAGTTAAAACAAATATTTCCGTGAGTTTCGAATAAGAGAACGTAAATATAATATATTAGTCACATTGTGGCAATGTTCAAAATCGTTATCTATTTTGTATTGTATGATATTATTATGATTAATATTATTAGTAGTCGCGGAATAATTATGTTGATTTATTAGACACGATGAATAAACATTAACAATAATATATGAAATTAATAATTTGTGTTTTTAATAATGATTCATTATTAAACTTTATGTGTATATACACATTGTACGCTTGAATCTATTTATACATAGTGATCAGATTTTAATACAATATATATAACAACGAAAAATATAAATAATAATATTTCTATATATATATATATATATATATATATATATATATATATATATTAACTACGTGTTATTTATTTATACTTACTATACGATTGAACATTTATAGTCAATGATATGGATGTAATAAGTTTGAACACTATTTAAATTATTAAGAGATCACGATTTCAACGAATATTTTATGAAGTAATTTAGACGAAAAATACAAAAACAACCAATAAATGGATTTCATAAAAAACATCTAAATGCACATTGGGCGTTCAAATATTTACTATGTAAACAATGTGTTTACAAGTGTTTATAAAAAAAGTATACTAAAAACGAATTGTAAGGACCTATTAATTACTATTACTATTATTACTATTAATTAGAAATAATAAAACAGTAGTTAATAGTAAACAATAAGTCCTTTAAAAACTAATTGGCTTACTTAGTTAACACTATAAAATAAAAATTTACTCGTTGATAAAAGCCAGTAGCTTGCATAATATAAATGTTTATATTTACATAACAATTGATTATAATTACTAAAAAAAACTTAGTAAATATTTTTGTGGTTGTATATTGTTATTATGGTATTTGTGTTTGTTTTTCTTATTTTTAATTATTAATAGTTAAAATAAAAATTAATAATAATAATATACTTTTCTCATATTTCAAAGCCTTATTTTAATAATAACAATATCCAAATATTATTACGATTTTGGATGTGAAACCGTAAAATATGTCCACGCTTGCATTACCGAATCATATATTAAATCATGTTACTTACCATGTTCGCAATACATTCCATGTTTTCCAAGTGGACACAGACAAATGAATCCGCTTCCGGGGTAAATGACGCATGTAGCACCAAATTTGCATGGGTTGTTTTCGCATATTGAACGTTCGCAGTTTTTTCCGACAAATCTTTAAACATTTAAATAAATCAATTACTTATTGTTTATAGGTCATTCATAATGTGTTTTTAAAAATAAAAGTTTATGTAAAAAAAATTCTTTTGAATACGCACATAAAAAAAAAGTTGTATAATAGAATGTGCAAAATATTTGCTAGCAAAAATGTTAACCATTTATACAATTTACATAATATTATGGTTACTGCGTTTAAAAAAAAAAAAAATTGTTTATTTTTTGTAACATATTTTACAGAACATTTTTTAAATGTTAAGTCATTACAATATTTATGATATAATAAAATGGGTATAGATATAATTTGTAACAGTTTATAGATATAGGAACCTCTCTGAATCAGCCACTGATTAGTAGTTAAAAGTTAAATTGACAAAATGTTCGTATAACAATGATTAGAAAACTTTTTCTCTATTCTAATATTATTCGAAAAAAAATGTTTAGTATAGTAAATACAAACAATTAGTGTTTTATATTCAATTTTATAAATTATTAAATTATATTTTAAACAAATACATTTTTATTATTTGAAATTAAAAAAAATACCTATACTACATTTTTACAATAGTTTTTAAATTTAAAACAACATATTTTATTTTTATTTTTAACTTGAAGTAAGTTTAAAGAAAATATAATTTAAATTGTTAAGATTATTATAAATATAATATAATCTCTATCATATGTAATTGTTACCAAAAAAATAATTGTTCAAGTTAAAGTATAACAAATATTATGCCGTTTGTATAGCGGAAGTAAACAGTGCTTTTAGATTACAATATTCAAGCACTATAAACAAATAAATAAACACTCACTTTCTTGCGTAACTAAATTGTTTTCGAAAATAATATTTTTACTTTATTTGAAATCTCAATTACACCTTTTTGCTATATGAAATTATGTAATAATATTGTGTAGATTTATTATTTTGAAGTGACTGTTATTATTGTTTTAAGTTATATTTATATTCTTTGTTTATACATTTAATTATTGAAAAATAAATATTTTTTTGAAAATGTTTCAATTCTTAAAAATCATACGTTGAACCTACTAATAATTATTACAAATTATTTTATATCTAGATATAATTGCTCAAATCTAGGGAAGCACCAGAATTTTGCGAAAAACGTCTTGCTTCTTCAACCAAAATTTTAAATATTTATAAATAATGAACTATTCGTTAATAATATAGAAAATTTTTATAGAAGTTTAATGACTCTAATTATAAATTAATGTATGGGGAAAATGTATGGTTTGCATTTGCCCACAGTCGATGAATGTGGACAATTACCAGTGTATGTCAAAATACACCAAAAATCAAGGACATGTAAACTGTCATGTAAATGTCCGTAATGTAAGTTATTTGTAGAAATAGACAACATTCACCAAAACTATTAGCAAAAGTCGACAACCACCGGTGATTGTCAACACTCACCGCTAAGCGGCCGTACACCTTAACATATACAATGTGTAGTTCACACGCACCCAGAAGGACAAAGACAGTTCCACGAGTCACCGAACTCTACGCACGTAGCATAGCTATGACAGGGACTGGACAAGCACGTCAACGAAGCACACTCGATCACACCGTAGCCGTCGGTAGCGTTTTCGTATACATTATGGACGACTTCATCGATCTGCAGAACATATGCACGGTATTACAAATACATCTATTGTGATGTTAACCGTTTGGGTTGCTCACTTGCAGACGTGATATGCAACCGGTAATTCCCACTGTGACCGGAAGTTCGGCTGTTCCGTTTTGACCGGGTGGAAGTCCACCCAAATATAACAACGCCACTTTTTTCGCTTTCTCCGACGAAGTGTCGGCCGCCTGTTCACCGCTCATGGCTAACGTTTCATTAACCCTAAGTGATGCCTTGCAGTGGTCGGACATGGAATGTGACATGGCATGTTCCAAGCTAAAAAATGGAAAAAATCAAAAAAAAAAAATTAAGTCCCATTTAAGGCTATTATTATAATTTCATAAACACCACACTATCATATCTGCCAATCTGCATAGTTGTAGTACACTTACGCTGCTGTCAGCAACAGACGATGGCCAGTATTTACCCGGTATCTGGTCTCACTGAACAACATTGTTTGCACTCCACAAGAAAATTGGAACTTCAACAAACCATCCTGTAACCAAGAATTCGTGATATTAATGTCAGCGAACCAAAATCATCGAGGACTATTCAAACTTTCAGTTATACACGAATAGATACTTGCCGATCAATGTTAGTTACCTGTAAGTAAAGACACATATACATATGCGTAGTGACCTGAGCGTAGAACAATATGCCATTTGGCGCGAGTGTTCGTATTTCCATAGATATCTCAGCACCAGAACGGTTCGATAGTCTGTGGCTAAGATATGATTGTCCCGTAAACGCTGACACCTTAATCTCGATTTTTTCGCCGCATAGATCACCTTTCCAACCAAATGGACAGTTGCACTGAAAAGGTGTCATGTTAGTTAATACGTCCAATCATTCTGAAAGACACCGTACAGTGTTGAGATTCGTTTATTTCGTCAAATAAGTCGATAAACAATAAGCAATTACGGATAAAACGATTACGAATCATTCGCATCGAAATGAAATACAACTAATTCAAAACAAATTTTTAAATTATAATAATTTCAAAACTAATTCAACCAATTTGATAATTGTGTATCAGCTAGTTCATTAAAGGCCATTAAAAATACACTAAATTCTAGGTTTGGAAAACCGCGAGACGAACGAATATTTATGTACGCGTATATTATTACCAAACATGTTTCAAAACTCGTGCAGTAAGAATCCACTACGATTTGTTCTATAGACTTACGATTTGTGAAAATATTCACGGTACCATACTAGACGGTAAACGCATAATGTATAATAATATTGATACTGCAGTACTCACCTTGTGACCGGTTTTCGATTTTTCGCACACACCGCCGTTCAGGCACAAGACATTTACGCAACTCTTGTCCGCGGCACTTGGTACGCGGTCGGTGACTGGCACGTCAAACCGGGTGAAATTGTAATCGAAGTCGGTGGACATTTCATCGTAGAACGTAGTAAAAGCAGCGTCCTGTTCGATGATCGTTGTCGATACCGGCCTCGTCGTCGTCGTTCTCGTTTTCTCGGTCCTCGAAGGCGCGTCCGCGGTGACTGGCCGACTCGAAGCCACTGTCGTGGTCGACCGGACAGCGACCACAGCCGCGGTGGTCAACCGACTTGTGGCCCCGGTGACGGTGGACGGGTGGGTGCTCAACGCCATGGTGCTCTCCACCACCGTGCTAGGTCGAGTCCGCGCTGACGCGCTAGTCTCGTAAAACCGCGTCGTGCCGTCATCGGCCGCGTCCACCTGGTAAGACCGCGTCGTAACGTAACCGGCTGTATCTACGCCGGGACCGTCCGGGGACGCGGGACCGCGCGCGTCCAGCTCGGTCGTCCAACCGTCAGTAGTCGGTTGGAACATGACCACGTCGTCGTACGACGTTTCGTCCCGGTAATCAGTCGTCCCGGTGCCGGTAACGGGATCGGACGTGTACACCGCGGATCCGCCATCCGGCACGAGCTGAGTGGACGTCACGGCCACCCCCGTGTGATCAAACGGCATGGTCGCGGTGGAGATTATACCGAAGTCCGTGGAGAACGCGTTACCGGGCGTCGGAGAATTCCTGAACGCAGTCACGAAGAACGGCCGGTAACCGTCCGTCGTCCAAAACATGTTCGGTTCCGCGGTCGTGGACGACGTCACCGCGTCCTCGGTGCTGCTGACCGCGTGGTATGTGGTCACCACGCCCGTGCAGTTAATCGTACGCTCGTCCATGAACGCGCATTCGCACGAATGGCCCGTCAAACCTTCGGGGCACGTGCACGTGTACCCGTCGACCCCGTCCACGCACGTCCCGCCATTTTCGCACCTATGAAAATTCCCCGAGACGTTCAAAACTTTACGTACCGCTGAGTAATGTACGCGTACACAAATAGTGTACTCATGTTCGCGTTTCGTTCTATCATTCTACTAGTTCGTCGCGACCACGGACCGGAACCACTCCGGTTCGGATGCGTGTAGGATATTACCGAGGAAATTCAAAACGGATAATCATACGATATTGGTTACAAAGACGATGAAATGCGACAACTATTTAACGTGTCGAACGCGGTTTCTTTCATTAGACGTTAAATCAATAGTTTGGAGACTACATCGACATTATTTACTTCTTCAGTACCCAACCACCTCCCAAATGTCTCAATCTTCTCAACCGTCATGACGTCATGGCACAACTTTGAGAATTTCATATTCGTATAGAACGATTATACTCAAAACAATTATAAAAACACTATGCCTCTGACAATAGTTAATTATACTAAATTATTAGTAAATATACTAATACTGGTCAAATTAATAGTTCTTCCAAAACGATTTGGTTAATTGATTCATTTCAAATTGTTTTTGGGAATGCATCATCAGTTTAAAATAGTTAAGTGATTAGAAAACTATATTAATTTGATATATAGGTATGTATCCGGTGAACACGGATTAAATAAAATATGCGTATATTTATGTACATCAAATATTTTAAGGAATATTATACACAAATTTACTCATACAGTATGTTTGAAAATAATAATGATAAATAATTTTGAATTTCAAAGCTGACTGTTGATTTGTTATTTATAAATTTTGTACTAACCCTTTACACGTAGAACAATTATGGTCTAGTATTTATCTTACATGTTCAATCTAATCTGTCATGTATACTTGAATCAAGAACTATTAAGAATTACTTGATATTTACAAATATTTATAATGTTTAGGGTACACGTTTTTCTTTAGTCATGAGAAAGGTCAAGAATAACTTGTCTAAATCTGTGTTTCTACGTAAGTATAATTGAAAAAAATAACGTTTGCTTTTTATTGATTTACCTAATTCCTAGTTGGCATTCATCGTATTGATATTGACAGTATTTCCCGTGATAGTCTGGTACACAGTAACAAACGGACATTCGGTCTTCAATTAAGCAAAGCGCATGATTTTGACATTCGTGTTCATCGCACAGACGCAATGTTACGTCACAATCTCGACCTGTGTAACCTGCAGAGTAAATTACGAATATTACGTAGTTACATATGATAAAAAAAAAAGTGCAATACTACTACTATCAACTCTGCGTACGCACACAGTACATATGTATAACTAATTTATACTATTTTAAAACAAAATTATCGTAACTCGTTTTACATAAAGTTTTTAATACTTTTGACTTCGATGTTTAACGATTATAAGATAGCATATAAATAATATTGTACCAAAAAGACATGCACACGAGTATGTCGTTTGCTTGTTGATACACACTCCTCCGTTTTTGCATGGCCGAGAATCGCACTGATTGATTTCGTCCTCACAAGTCTCACCATCCCACCCTGAAACATAATCATAGGCGTATAATACTCGTGCATTAGTGAGGAATGCTAGTTTATTTATTACAATTGCGAAATATAATAATAATATGAATATGGAAAGAACAAACGTAAACTGTGATAATGTATTAATTAAAAGTAGTTAATTACCTGGTGAACAGTTACAAGCAAAAGACACACCGGGACCTTCAATACACTCGCCACCGTTTTTACATAGTAATTCACCAGTCGAATTACAAACAGCCAAATCAATTTCACAGCTAGTCCCTGTAAATGTAAAGACCTTGTACGAAATTCAATTAAAAATAATAAGAGTCATAGTTCAGTACAGTCTATACAATTATACAGTGTTAATATAAATTACGTATTACGCGCATATAAACCATTGTATTTCAAAGAGACTGTACAAATAAAAAATACAAAATCGTAATTTTTTTCTTAAATAATTTTTTTAGAATTATTTTTAATTTGCTTCGAGGCTCAATAGTGTACACAAGATAACGTAGAATACCTAATTATAAAGAGTAGGTACTCTCTGGTGATGTATAATATTCCTACTCACTACTTTGATGTATATTCATTATAATTTAAATATAATGTATGTGATCTCAATTATCATAATTTACAAATTATTATAATTAATAATTAAATTTAATATTTTATTTCTTAAAAATCTTTATTTATATATATGAAACATTAAACAATGTATAATGTTATTGTAATATACTCGAATCGTATGTGAAAACATTAATGTACTCGTATACAAGATAACATAATTTTGTTTTAGGAAATAGAATAATCACAGTCATTTTTTACATTTGTTTGTGTTTGTAACACTAAAATTATTACAAATATAATATAGTATGTAATATTATACATTTTATAATATTTCCTTTTTCGGATAAAATATGCATGACTTCAGTTAAGTTCTGACGTTTCGGGCACATTATAGGTTCCATCTTCAGAGGGTAAGTTAATACCTCAAAGTATCGCTTTTGTGAAAATGCAAAAAAAAAAAGAAATATAAGTACATCCATGAATACTTTAACATATTAATAATATTATTAATTATTATACATGTTAACATTTACGGCACATCACAGTAACTCATACCTCTATTACTTGAATTATATTTCACATTCTACACATTCTATATAAATGTATTTTAGTAGTAATTTATCTCGATAAATATAGAACTGTATTTTTCTCCCTTTATTAATATAAGGTAAGGCGTCTCGATTACATACGAGTAAAACTATAATTATTAATTCGACCAAGGACTTACTCAATGTCATTTTTTTGTTTGTTTTAAGTAGTGTACCATCATCGTTTGACATTGTAATTGTTTTGAAAAAGATAACTTATTTAATACAAGTACGTAGCACGTAAAAATAATTATTGGCATTACAATAATTTACTGACAATACGGCTAAATACTTACGACAATATTTTACGATAACATATCGTTTAATATTTTATTTATTAATATTTTTAATCCTCTTGCACAATAATTTAAATTTAAGTTGTGCTAGTACTCGGGACATAAACGTCTTATGTTACATTTACACCATACTGCAGTCTTCAAGCTAATCAGTTCGCATTACAACAACAAAACAAATCACATTTTTTCGATTTGTATGAAATTCACGAGCAACAAATGATTTTTTTCGAGTTTAATCGTTTAATAATTACGATTTGTAACCTTATGAACACATTAATATTACGTATTTTATTTTTCCCAGTACGAATAAATGTAACTATAGACGTTTTATAGAAAACTATACAAATAAGCCACGGTTTAACAATAATCCTAGATCGGTGCTAAGTATTATTGCATAAACTATAAATAGGTACATTTAGGTGGCAGTAAAATGAAAATTAAACATGATTATGAACAGAGCGTTATATCATGGGTGTTTGGGCTCATACGTATATATACGGTGAAAACTGTCCCGGACGGATCGTGTACAATACATGTATTCTAAACGGTGAAATTCGTCATGCGACCGAATACGATTTACGTTTCATAACGGTTTTCCAGGTCCGTCCGTCCCGGACAGGTTTCATCGTGATTCCAAGCGTCTGAAACTGACCAGCGTATCCGGCGGGGCATTGGCACGCGAATCCGTTGGTGAAATCCACACAGGTTCCGTTGTTTTGGCACGGGTTGGACAGGCACTCGTCGACGTTGAGCTCGCAATCGTGTCCTACGGGATGAAAACGACCGGGAAAACAAATTCAGGACGAGACCGCGTTACTATCGTGTCGAGCAGTTATCGTGGTTGTCGTGCGACGTCAGTGGCGGCGTGTGACAATAGAGTGTTTCAAGATTGGATGGGTGGTATCAGGCTCTCCTGATTAGCGAAATAACGAAAGCTATCGCAATGTTGAAACTTACGAGCTCTAGTGTGATACAAAAAAATTAGATGACGGTGATAGTGGTGTTGTTGTTCGACCTATATTCGCCTTGTACGAAACAAAAATGATTTTACACGCCACCACCTCGGTTACGCGGCGCTCAACACGTTACATATTGTACACATGATGGATTTACCCGCATAACCGTCGGGACACGAACAATTGTAGTCGGCCACGCCGTCCAAACACAATCCTCCGTTGAGACATGGCGAAGACCAGCATTCGTCCCAGTTGGTCTGACAACGGACGCCCGTATAACCGTCGACGCAATAACAAGTGTACGTGCTGCGGGAAAGAGAACGTGAATGAAAACGGCGTACGGAACAGAAACAACCATAAAAAAAAAAAAAAAAAAAATTAGAGTATGAAATAAAAAGAGTAAAAATAATTTAAAAAAAACGCTAATTTTTTATGCTTGCCCGTCGGGTCGCGGCAACAAAATTTGCCACCGTCGCGCGCCGTACCGCAGCACACGCGACGGTACCGTATTACGCAGCGGACGTTTCGCATTTGCCGAGTGCGCGGCAGTTACAGTGATGTTGTACGGTACAAGTGAGCGATCGTAAGCGTAATACATGTGGACGGGGTCGCTAACCTGTTAAGCTGATCAACGCACACGCCGTGAACGCAAGGGCTGCTGAGGCAAGCGAAACCAGCGTGCGCGGGCCCTGGCGCCGAGCACAGCAACGACGCGGCTACTGCGAACATCACGGCCACGGCAGACGCTACTGACCAACGGTTCGGCGGCATTTGGCATTTCCGGACGGGATATCGGGTCGGAGACGACCGGCCGACCACCACCGCCACCACTGCCGTACGTATTGTGTTGCGTTGTTTGCGCGTAGCTCACCAATCCGTAGCTCTTCCTCGCATTCCGTGGGCGCTTACACGTGTGTACACGCGCGGCGGCCGACGACTTGGGTTCGACTCGAGTGTGTCCGGTCGGCTCTGTAAAAAACAAAAAAAACCGTGAAAAACCAAATGTTACTCAATTATTTTCGAGTACTCGACGCGTCAATGTTTCAATTGCAAATGTATCGCTACGATATGCGTGTGCGTCTCATAGTTGTTAAATACGCAAACCGTGAAAAAAACCATTCACCCTTCCATACCCACCCGCCAACCATCGTCTAGCGTGGAGCGTTCACGACGTTTACTGAACACCGGGAAACGCAGTGACGTATATTTTAGAGGACATTTCTAGATATTATGAACAATATGCATAGTGCATACGCCTGACAACCGCTCGTAGTACTTTCCCCGTCGTTTCATACGTACTAACGTTTCATGGTGTAACGAGTTCGTTTTTGTAATTTCGATTTCAAACACAAACTCGTGCAACCCCTATTTTTCATAAAAATTCTTTTATTAAATTGTGTAATATGTTATATAAATTGTGTAATATTATTATATATATTAATAAAACATATTTTTTTATACGTTTACAATGATATGATACAGACTCCCCCCTCTACGCCCTTCCATATAATTATAATTTTTAGTACATTGTCAGTAATTATTTTTAGTAATAGTTTTTTTTTATTAACCAATTTTAACTGAAAATATACTTTTGTCTGGTATAAAACTATTTACAATTTTTTTATTTTAATGTGGGATATATAACTTAAAATTTAATAGATATATTTAAATCCTAATCAGCTGTCTAGCTTAAACTGGCTTCCTGAAAAATACTTTCATAGTAGTAGTTTTATTTATTAGTATTTAGTAGGTACACACTTCTCGAATCCGTAATGCACACTTCCAGTTTCGGACTATAAACTTTGTGTCGGTTTCATTAAAAAATAGAGACTGGGCTCGTATATACAAGTGCCCATAATTAAATTAATAAAAAATCGTACCTCTAACACATTATATTCTTATGGAAACATCGATGAAATTAGAAAACTCCGTTGTTTTATTCTGTCAGCTGCCATGTAGAATAGGACTACGATCGATAGTTTAATAATAATCAGTTTTATTAGAAAAACAAGAATTCATCTGCAATTTATTATTATTATTATTATTATTGTGGTTATCAGTTAAACCATTGTACGATTTTAAATAACTCATAAATATATATCATCATCTCAAATTTAGGATAAGCCGTGTTTTATTTATGCCATTTTCAAGTAACAGTACTAGCAATACTTTTATTTTTATGTAAATTGTTACATTTTTATACAATTTTCTAGAATCGTATTTTTATATGTTCATTTGTTCTTAAAAATCGCATCTAGTAAATAATACGGTACGCATTGTACATAATTTTATTAACTACATCAATAATATTATTTTCATGATTTCAATGCAAAGCCGGTAAATCCTGTAAGTTTTTAGTTACATTTAACGTACCTAATAATTAATACACTGATGCGATAAAAATCACAAGAATTAAAATTATCAATAAATCTAACTAAATACATCGGTTTTTACTGTAATTTGAAAATATATGACTAATACATTAAAATCTATAAAATATTTAAAGTCGAAAAATTTAAAAATGGAAAAATAAGAGGATACAATTTAATCTGATGATAAGAGACACATTTATCATCAGGGCTAGGATTTGTATGCAATAAAAAATTATAAAATATGCATTTTATTTACCAAAATATGCAAAAATATGCATTTAAATTTTTATAATATACACACAAAAATATAGTTACAAAAAAAAAAAAATTATTTATTAAAGTACAGCAATGGTTGACTGTTTGTCTTAATATAATATAGTTGAGAAATGAAATAAAATAATTTAAAATAAAATTTATGTTTGATAAAAAAATCAAGTTTTATACTTTAATCAGGAGTGCTAGAATTAAATATACGAAATATTAATATTAAATTATAAATATTAATTACGAAATATACTATAAAACATTCATTTTTCGCATTCTTATAATCGAAATATGCAATAATATTAATTATGTTCAATATATGCAATAATATGCATTTTATCCAAAACATGCAAAAACATGCAAAATAAAAACACCATCATTTATCTCATCATGAGGTGATTCGTGGACATTACTGACAAAATTAATAATCAGAAGTCGCAAAAAAAAACATGCTGTTGCATACGAATTCTAGACCTGTTTATCACTATAAAACTCTAAAATCTACAACCGACGTAACTATGACAAATTAATAATAATACATTAGAGTATATCCTTTGCCAGGACCTACAGTGATAAAATAAGCTATTCAGTAGCATAACATATAGACCAAAAGGCAAGAATGCACAATATTGTTATAAATTAATTAATATGGATGACTGTTTTGAAATTAGTTAAATTAAATTAATGTATCGTATCCGGTAAATAAGCTGAAATACGCTGATTTTATATTTATATAAATATAAGACTAATAAATATTCAGATTTGAAATAATATTAAAGTTGAATCATTTATGAAATAAATGTGTTGTATTTTTTAGGTCTTCAGATTTTAGTTTAATATCTAAATTGTAATTTTACTTCTCTATGCATTATAAATATTGTAACGAATTTTAGATATATCTTTAAACTGCTAAACAGTTACGAGTATGTTATATAACGTATGTAAATTATTTACAAATAATTTTAAAAATTAAACGTTTTGATAAAAATTAAGTTGAAGATATGATACTCATACTTTAATATATATTCACTGATTCGTTGTTAGTATAGAAATGTTCAATAAAAATACTTTTATTAAATTTAATAGTGCATTTGACGATCTTTAGACGGATGTCGAGAACTGCTATTTCCGTATATACATTAAATATAAACAAATTATTAAAAAAAAAAATTATTGTAGGTACGTGTCGTTTACATTGAATACCTTCAATAACCGTGGGTTTAGAAAAAGCAGGAAGTTCTCATAAATAATATTAGATTTTTTTTTTTTTAATGGTTTATTCGAAAAACATCAATAATTAGTATTTAACGTGGGAAAAGATCCGCAAATCAAAATTAAGGAAATTAATTAGAAAATATAACGTTAAAACGTTTATATATATATATATATATATATATATATATATATATATATATATAT